GGTGAACAATTTTGAAGGCAAAAAGTCATGAAGTATGAAAAAGGAAATATGCACAATTTTAGCGAAAGAAATGTAACGCACGGGTAGTGTGGGATATGGGAAATCGCAGCCACTGGCAAACGCCAGGGCGCACGCGTTTCTCAGGTTAAGGGGTGGCAATAAGTCAGCCGGAATTCCGAAAGAACAAATAAAATGTACCTATTCTACGTCAGCGGATGGGGGGGAGATTTTGCGAAAGATTGATCTTTGAACAGAGTCAGTTCGAGTGGAACAAAACGAGACAAAAGCCGGCAAATCAACCGGCCCTAGGCGGGATCACAAATAGATACCACATTGAACGCCTCTGCAGATTAGGGGAAAAAAAGATAAATGTTGTTCCCAAAGGGAGATATAGTTTTGATCCCATGAGGGAAATTTCAGACGTTAATATTTTGTGAAGAAGATTAAAGCAAACATTTGTTCTAGCCTGTAAATAGATATAAATAAAAAATTTGTTGTGAATGCTGACAAGTAATAAAACGGCCTTATCTCGAGTAACCGGTTATCCAGACGAAGTGAATTTCAAAGGCAGAGGAAGAAGACTTGAGCATATGATAATGGGAAGGTGGAATCAGACAGAATGTGTAACTTGTTTATAAGAGCGGTTCGCAGGGTGCCGAGGTAGGATGGTCGACAATTTGGAGGTTCTCATGTAAGGTTGACAGTATGTTAGTGAGGCCAAGAGTGAAAAACAGCACCGCATGCGATTTCAACTAGCGTTCTCACCAGACAAATATTATCCGAAGTGCAGGCGTTCGACCTTCACTCGGCTGCGACCAATCGGTGAGGATTGATATATCGATCAGTGCCGCAATTCGGAAGTTTGATTGTGCCCTAGCGACCATGAGAGGGGTCAACTGCAGTACCCCCTACCTAGGTCGAAGACGGTGTGTATGGATGTCGAGAGAATTGTTTATGTCTGAAAAATCTGGTTAATTAAGCGGTCCCTCTGGACAGCTACTTTGACCCGATCGACGCTGACTGCGTCCTTCTTGTCGGCATAAAGGGTCCAGTAGGTTTTAGTAGTGCATGAGAGTAACTGAAATAACCCTTCTTATGGCATTTCCAGCGCCCTGTGCACACGGTCACACCGAACGAACGTGAATTCAGTTGGTTAAGCATTTTCGACACAATACTCGGTCGGTGGACTTCGGGGAGAAACCCGTATCATGGCATAGGGAAACAGACCGGGGGCAGGAGAGAGCGCAGATGGCTGACACGGCCGTATTCGCACCTAGATGTGCCGCTGCATGCCGTGGTTCACAGTAAACGCCTGACCAGGGTTCTAACCAACAAATAGACGGAAGTCTGACGCGACCGGAGCCGCCCCTAGGCATGCCGCTATATCGTTCGGATCCCACAAGGTGGAGTGCCATGAAGGCCACATTAAGAAGGAGCCATTGCAGCCTGACTCCCAGACCACCAGCCTGCCACTCCATGCAACACACACTGGGCGGACTGCCACGTCCAAAATTTTCTCGTCTATTGAGAAGCATCAAAACAAGGGTTTTTAATGTACCGTAATAACTTAAAGGGTGCCAGATTTCTTATAGTGGGGAAAATGTGCTGAGACGTCGACCTCACTTTCTATTCCCATACGCAGGCCCCGGCCACTGCCCGAGGCGGTTACTCTTCTGGCGCGGAGAATGGGCGCAGCGGCTGACAACTAGAGAGCTCGCCTATGCGTGCTACATGCACGACCTGCCCCCAGAATGCAGGTACCAGGATTGCACACACAAAGTAGACATAACGCTCGGATCTTACATGCAACAGAGAAACCACACGGATAATTAGGCCGAAAAACACACTCTTCACTTACGTGAGAGGTGCCAGTTTTGTGGGAGCCTGGAGGAGTGCATGAGTGTTGCAGGTGTTAGTGGAGGAATGTGTGGTGTTGCGGTCGCGCCTGCTGTTATTTACCACAGATTTTCACAGAGATGTATATGCATTAGTAGGCCCATGTAGTAGCTGAATGTGAGAGGACATTGCGAATGGTTGAGGCGATTGCATCTGTTGTATGTTGGTGCTCCAGACACTGTTTTCAATCTCAGTGCGATGGATTCACAAGGGACCTGCCAGCCGATGTGTGAGGTGAATGTGAAGTCGCAATGAGGACAGATTGGGGCTGGATCCACAACGCTGCAGGAGGTAGGTGGTGATGGTAAATGTGTCGGTGATTAATGGAGCGTCAGAGGTGTTTCAGTCGCTGATGGGTGTGGTAGAGCTGGTTGTGTCCCCCGTCGCCGCGGTACTTATGGCAGAGATGATGGAGGACGTGGCGATCAATGGCAGTGCGTCACGGGGACTCACAGCAACGTTGGTAGGGGTGGGGTGACAACGCGTTCGACGTGAAGGTTGGAGCAGGAGGACTCGTGGAGGCAACGTTTGCGATTGTCTGGCGGTTGACCCATTGGGTACAAAGATGTCCAACTAGGTTGATTCACGCAGGGAAGATTCTTTGACATCGTCGGCAATGTGGGTGGGATTAAGCTCAATGTTGCGGGTCTGGGCTAATGCGATTTGCGAGCTTCCCTCTTGACGATGGCAGCGGCGGTCCGGCTTTCCTCGTAGCTAGGCGCGCCAGTCTTCATGTCCCTTCTCTAAGCCTGTCTACTCCAGATGAGGACCTCCCAGGTCTTCGTGATGATCTATAATCGCTTCAGAGAGTCATCCAAAGTGTCCTTATAGCATCGATTTTCTCTTCAAGATCGGCGGCCATGGGTGGCGGCATCGTTGTAGAAGTGTTGTTTGGGTAGGCAAGCGTCGTCCATTCGCACCAGGTGGCCACACCATCGCAGTTGCAGTTGTCTCCGCATGGCGTGGAGGCTGAGGATCACGGTCCGTTCTATGACTTCTGCGACCGGGATCCTGTCCTGACATCTCAAATTCAGTATTCTGCGGAGGAATTTGAGATGGAAGTGGCAGAGTTTCCTGGCGTGGCTTGTCCGGGCTTCCGCTCCACACAGAAGAGTCGCCAAGATGATGGCATTGCACATCTTTAGTTTACTGTTCAGTTGAACGTCATGGCGATTCTATGCGGAGTTTTACAGCTGGCCGATGGCTTAGCTGGCGTAGAGAACCGACGGAAACCTCAGATGTTTGTGATGTGCAAGAATGTGATTCCTAGATAGGCGAAGTTGTCCACGGTCGGGAGTTTGTTGCCGTTGAAACGGATTCTGGGAGAGCTGTATTCCGTGTTGCGTGGCGGTTGATGCATGACCACCTGTTTGTCTTTATCGTTCGTGTCGTCTAGCGCGTAGTCGTCGACGAGAAGCACGTTGCAGATTGTACGTAGGGGCCTACATGTGCCGGTTGTTGAGAAAATGCCCATCAACTATGTAGGCGATGCGTATCCCGTGTTGCTTATCACGCAGGCTTCCATCAGCATGGCAGAAAGCATGAGGCTGGAAAGGTAAGGGGCGAATACGCAGCCCTGCTTCACTTCACTGGCCACTGTGGGTGTCTCGGAGTCTGCTCCATTGTCCGTGACGCACGCAATCATCTCATCGTGGAGCTGGCGTTTTGAGTGCGTAAACCGCTCAGGACAGCCTGGCTTTTGAAAAAGTATTTACAGGGCTTCTCAATTTACTGTGTCGAAGGCTATCTCGAACTCCACGAGGGAAAGGTAAAGGTGGGTTTTCACCACTTAGCTCCTCTCTTATAGCTGGCGGGCGCTAAAGACCAGTTCAAAGGTGCTTCAGTGTCGTCGGCAGCCTCATTTTCTCTCCGGTAGAAACCCTCACTCGAGGTGGCCGTTGGGATGATTGAGAAGGATGAGGACGAAGATCTTCCCCGCGATATTGAGTAGCAAGATGCCTCTGTGTTTGTCACAGAATAGCCGGGTCCATTTACTCTTATAAGGATGGAAGATGGTTGCGTCTTTGGAGTCCGAGGGGTTTGTCCCTGTCGGTATATCTACAGGAAGAGCGCTATGACGTGAGTGATGTATTAGTCGGTCGCCGCCGTGCTTTTAGATTTCTGCTGGGATCACATTGGAGCCTGGTGCTCCCCCGCTGGGAAGTTGTTGCAGGGTACGAATGGTTTCTGGGATGGCGGGAATCCAGGTCGATGTTTATTTCCACTTGGGGGTGCCAGTCGACGATGACATCGAGAATTGTAGCAAAAAGCCTGAGGTTGTTTCTGAAGTGCCCGACCCTGCACTTCAGAATCTGCGACTTCTCCACCAGAAGCTTTGATCCATCGGAGCTGAGAAGCGCCGCAGCGCCTTTGACTGATAGCCGTAGATCTTGGTCGCAGCGAATACATTCTTTCATTATTTACGGTCGGCATAACTCTGGATCTCCTGAGCCTTGCAGCTACCCAGGCGTCCCGCACTTCTCACAACCGTTGCTATGAAAGTCGGCGACAGTGGTAGAGGGCCGTTTCGTCTGTATTGGAGGTGCAGTCAATGTACGCTGTATGCAGTCTCCATGAAGATATCGCTAATAAATAGTAAGTGGAGACCTGACGTACTTTCTAAAGAACTATAAACAAGTGTGGTAAGATTATGGCGAGAGCAAACATGGGGAGGCAAGAGAGCTCTGTTATTGACGAAAAGGTGTCCCGAATGTATAAAAAAGCACCGATGTGGACGTTACACTCTACGTAAATTTTTATATGCGCATGTACGAAGAATTATGTAGTACGTAAAGCACGGGGGTCTGAAATGGGTTTCTTATAGTGCAACGGGTAGACCAATATTTTGCAGGTTAACCCGAATATAATATTAATGTAGGGCTTGAAATGAAAGTTTGAGTAATATCTCTCTGGAACTGTATAAGGAGTTCAGTGTATGGAAGATAGGATATAATGTGTTACGAAGTTTGCTCAGGTTACGACGCCAACATTAGCAGATAGGACGCCGTTATTCTTTCGGCCTAACTGTCAGCAAAATCTCAATGTCCACTGTGTCATGGGTTCTAGAATTTGGTGTTTCCAATAACTATTCCATGGACTAACACATGGTTACCGTCACCAAGTTCCTTGGCCGGTTGCCCCCAAGTGCCAGTTTCTATATGCTACGTATCGAAGCACGTGTGAGTCAGCCCAGGGGACTCATAAAAATAGTGCGTTTCTAGACTCAATATTAACAACAGCATTTTTTATGTGGTTTGTTTTTATGTATCAAATACATCCCGAAGGTAGCAGTAGTTTCGATTCTTGTTCTCGCCCTTCCTGTGCGTGTCTGTTCTGTTTATTTCGCACGTCTTCGCTTTTTTTACTGTTGAAAGTTCTGTGCTCATTAGGAGTTTGTGATTTCAACTCTTCTGTTTTTAAGTCGGGTACTTGATCATCCTCACTGAGAGCTGCGTTATGCCTAGGCAGGGATGACCTCCCCTGGTAACATTGGACTTGTTTTCTGGCAGCCTCTGCTTACGTTATTTTGTTAGTTCGTAACTAATTTTGTTAGTGGGTTGTCTTTCTAGCCGTGACCAGATGCATCAGTCCGTTTTCGCATGTGGTGTGTTGAACACGACCCAGGCAATCTACCCTGACTCCCCATAGCCTGTTAAGTGGAATTCACGAACGCACTAGACCGCGGGGTGCCTCAGACTTCTTAATCGACAAGTGTGTTGCCACTGCGGACCCAGGAAAATCAAAGCTGCTACCGCACTGCTTAGACGGTTGTTGACGGAAGTTGATGATGGGGTTGTTATGAAGGAGGTCCATGTAATGCTTCCACCACGCTTTCAGCCTATCGTCAGAAACATGAATCCTGCTCTTCAAGGACTGAATGTTTTCAAGTACAGACAATCGTTTTCAGGAACTCACGTGGTGGTTATTTTTTTCAAGGCGCTGTTGGGTCTTTGCATTTGTCTTGCGCTTCCTGCTTTCCAGCGGTCGTTCTGGTTCACGTTCAGCCGTTGTCTGTTGCAAGCTGCCTCCTCCTTTACGAATGTTTCTGGACGTTTTGCATTAATAGACTCCACCCGCCGAAGGTTTTGACTCAACATTAATGGGTCCCGAACTGTGCTGCCTCAACAACCCATGATCTTGCTCCCTTTTGTTGAATCCCAGACGTTTGTGTAGTTTCCAATTTCATTATGAGAGCGCGGTGCGCATTTAGACGGCGACTCATTGTTTGAGATTCGCCACTCGCCAGACCGAGGGGATTGCTGCCTGCACATCTCTGATGTTCCCCTCCATTTGATTATCTAAGGTCGGAACAATCAACTCGATGCCTCTTTGAGAGTTGCCATATCATACGTGCCTGTTCAGTTAGCAGAAACAATGTGGCGATCACGAGAAAGTCTGCCACAAACTTCGACGATTCACGTCAGAGGTCGTTTTTTATTTGGTCATCAACCATGAAAATCAGGTTACAACGCGGACCGAGAGACTAATGTTGTCTTTCAACTGACTGCTAAAGATAAAATAAAAACGATTTGCATATCAACACCGTTTTACATAGACTCCTTTGCCTTTCAGATGCTAAGCAAGTTTTTGCTGATGTCAGCTAAAACGGCATTATATGTCTAGACATTTGCGTTAAGGATTACGAGACACCACTCTGCCCCTTTCATGAGTATCAGTAATCTCTGACTTATTGGGCCTGTGTTGAGAATTTTAGATGCACGTCCAGTTTGCCGATCTCAGTTTTCTGATATTGGGTTCACTTAACAGAAGAAAACAGACACCCGACTCTGCTCCCGTACAAACTGTCGGATATTACAATCTCATGATCTAACTTCCGTCCGCTCGTTGACAGTAAAAGTTTCCTAACATGTCCGGTAAAGGTTCTTTCATCCCGACCCCTGCGTCGTGCTTAAGCTGACCGTAATGAATGCTTAAGACTGTTCGTATTCAGCCCAAATTTTCTGCAAGTTTTGTAAAGCGTTCGCCTTCGTTGAATCCTCGTAAATGCCTCCGAGTAGATGGGTGCTACATCATTTCTAACTACAGTGCTAAAAACAAGGGCTTAAATTTAGGTCAGGGTGAAAACTGTTGTCTCCCATCCTGTGTTCGTTTGCCTCGTGTTTTCCAATCCACTTTGCTTTTATATTTACCAAATAATTGTTTTGAATACTGACATGTTCCAGAATATGGAGGACCAAGGAGAACAGTCACCACCACCGACTGATGGAAGTTTTCCTCAGCCAGCTGCTCTTGGGAGCGAGCCTCAGATTTTAGAGACACCCGAAGACATCAGAAACAGGAGAAACCAGGTCCTTGACCGATACGCAGCGTTTAAAGAGGCGACGGATGAACGCCGACGACGCCTTGAAGAGGCTAAACGGTGCGGCATTCTTTATTGTTCATATTTTTAGATACCAATACTTTAAACGCGATGCCGACGAATTGGAGAGTTGGATGCTTGAAAAGTTGCAGACATACCAGAACGAAGACTTCAAAGATCTTGCAAATTTGCAAGTAAGTACTTTTTCGCATCCGTGCTATCTTATAGAGCAAAAAACAAAAACACCAAGCCTTGGAATTGGAAGTGAAGGCCCAGTCGGAAACTCTGGCTTCTTTGGATAAGAGCGGTGAGGAAATGATATCACAAAACCACTATGCGTCCGAGATAATAAGGGTTTGTTTCACCCTTTTTAATTATCCTTCCCTTCCAGAACCGCTTAGATGATCTACATGCTCTATGGGACAAATTAATGGCCATGTTCCGGGAAAAGTCTCGTCTGCTAAATCTAACCCTGGAGTACGTGCTGTTTCTGCGCCGGGTGGATGAGATCCTGTTTTGGATTCGCGAAAAGGAAACTTTTGTAACATCGGAGGAATTTGGTCAGGATCTAGAACACGTCGAAACACTCCAGAAGAAGTATGATGAATTTGTGAAGGTAAGGTCCTTTTAGCCTCGCCTCTCCCGTTTACTTTCCGCCTTAACTCTCCCATGAATTGGAATTTCTACACTTATCATAGCTAGTTTTAAACTGCCCTGGTGCATTTCCGATAATCCCGCTTGCCGAATTTTATTTTTCTGTTATTGCTCTATATGGCAGCCCACTCCTTAATCAGCTTTTCGCAGGTTCACCCCTACTCCAATTTAATTTTTTGTTTTAAGGACCTAGAATATCAAGAAGGACGGGCTGCGGAAATATATGTAAAAGCGGACGAGCTTATTCAAGAACTTCCTGAAGAAACCCTCGTCATGGACAAGAAACGGGAAGTTCAAGAAGCCCTAGAGCGTCTGAAGGATCTTGCGAGGAGACGTCAGCAGAAACTATTTGAGGCCCACGAGATCCAACGTTTCTTCCGCGATACGGATAAAACCATTTCATGGATAAATGAGAAGTCAATTCCGTTGTCTGTTGAAGATTGTGGCCGAGATCTTGTGTCCGTCCAAGCCCTGCAACGAAAACACGAGGCACTGGAGCGCGATCTAGCTGCTCTGGAGGACAAAGTCTCGCAGCTCGGTGTTGATGCTGACGCATTGTCTGAGAAACACCCCGACTCGCGCGATACCATCAAGGGCAAGCATGGGGCTTTAGCAGAAGCTTGGCAACAGCTAAAGGATAAGGCTACTGATAGGCGTCGCCGACTGGAGGAATCCTTCTTATTGCATCGTTTCCTCACTGACTGGCGTGACCTAACACTCTGGATAGCCGACACGAAGGCAATCATAGCTGCTGACGAACTAGCAAAAGACGTTGCAGGTGCAGAAGCCCATGTCGAACGACATAATGAGCACAAGGGCGAAATCGATTCTCGTGAGGAAAGTTATAAGGCATGTATGGAAGAGGGTCAGCGACTGGTTGATATGGGTCATCCCACGAGTGGAGACATAATTTCTAAGATGAATACATTGGAGCGAGAAAGAGCAGCGTTGCTAGCTTTGTGGGATGAGCGACGAATTCAGTTTGAACAGTGCATGGATCTGCAACTCTTCTACAGAGATGCTGAACAGGCCGAAGCATGGATGGCCAAACAGGAGGCATTCTTAGATAACAAGGATGTGGGAGATTCTCTGGACGCCGCTGAGGCTCTTATACGCAAACAAGAGGACTTCGAAAAGTCTTTGGCCGCGCAGGAAGAAAAAATCAAGCACTTGGAGGCTTTTGCTGGCAAGCTGGTTGACGGTGGTCACTACGCGTCGCCTGAGATTGCCAGTCGCAAGGAAGCTCTCCTTCAGCGCAGAACAGCTCTTCAAGAAAAGGCAGCTCTTCGTCACAACCAACTAGAGGACTCGCACCGTTATCACATGTTCGACCGCGACGCTGACGAGATAAAAGCCTGGATTGTCGAAAAATTGAAGACGGCTACAGATGAAAGTTACAAAGACCCAACGAACTTACAGACAAAAGTGCAAAAGCACCACAATTTCGAGTCCGAAATCAATGCCAACCAACCTCGCATTGAGGACGTCAAAAAGATGGGCACCGAACTACTGGAGGCCAACCACTACAAATCGGACGATGTTCGTGCCAGGATAAATGAGTTGGATGACTTATGGGTCAAGCTTGTAGATGCTATGACCAAAAAAGGCAAAAATCTTGAACAGGCGAACAACCAGCAACAGTTTGTTCGTAATATTGAAGACATTGAACTCTGGCTCTCTGAAGTAGAGGCCCAAATTGCATCTGATGATCAGGGTCGAGACTTAAATAGCGTCATGAACATGCAGAAGAAGCACAACCTTATTGAATCGGACGTACAAGGCCACCGCGACCGCATTACGGCCTTCGAGGATCAAGTGGCGAAGTTCGTTCAGGAGGGCCACTATGACGCCCCCATTCTAGAGCAAAAGCAACAGCAAGTGATGAGCCGCTACGAAGCTTTAACGGAACCTCTCCAAAAGAAGCGCGCTAAGCTTGCCGACTCATACAAGCTACACCAGTTCTATCGCGATGTTGAGGATGAGGAGGACTGGATTCGCGAGAAGGAACCCGTCGCTGCCTCCAGCAATGTTGGTATGCTCATTAACTTTTTGCTTTGTACTTGATGTCAGTTCCACGTGTAACGCGAGTTTAAGTTGCACGTTTTTAGTGGCATCAGACAAAAATAATGCTACTTTTCACTGGCACTTGCCTCGCTTGCAATTGCCCTTTTGCGGTAGCAAACACATGTGTGCAAGTGTAATTAACGTATTTTCTTGCAGTGGCATGTTCATTTAGTCTAGAATTTATTTCTCACTTATCAGGGCCCCTTTTCACTCCCAGTGCCTACTGACTACTCGGGCATTTTTCACGCGAGATTTTAATCGTTATTGAGCATTCATTATTTTTTTAGGTCGGGACCTGATTGGCGTCCAAAATCTGATAAAGAAGCACCAGGCCGTCATGGCCGAAATTGCTGGGCACGAGCCGCGAATTGATGACGTGTGTGCGGCTGGGGAGGCCATGGTGAACGAGGGACACTTTGCTGCTGATGATATTCGCAAGCGTATTGCAGAACTGCGTAACTACTGGGATTCTCTGCGCCAAAAGTCGGAAAACCGTCGACAACTCCTTGAGGACTCGCTTCAGGCACAGCAGTACTTTGCAGACGCCAGCGAGGCGGAAAGTTGGATGCACGAAAAGGAGCCATTAGTTGACTCTAACGAATTTGGCCGGGACGAGGACTCTACAGAGGCGCTCTTAAAGAAGCATGATGCACTCATGGCTGACATCGAGGCATACGGTTCGACCATTCAGCACCTCCGCGCTCAGTCTGAGGCCTGCCGTATGCAGGAAGTCCCAGTAAGTGACATTCTCGGCAAGCAGTTGGTCATGGCCCTCTACGATTATCAGGAGAAGGCGCCGCGGGATGTTTCCATGCGCAAGGGTGATACCTTAACCCTTCTGAACAGCAGCAGCAAGGATTGGTGGAAGGTGGAAATTAATGATCGTCAGGGTTTCGTACCCGCGGCTTACCTGAAAAAGATTGAGGCTCCACTGACTGACAGCCAGGCCCACTTAAACGACCAACCACTCACGATCGCCGTTCAACAGCAGCGACTGGAAAACCAGTACAACAATCTGCTTCAGCTGGGCCGCGACCGCAGAGAAAGACTGCAGGATTCCGTACAGGCGTACCAGCTTGTGCGTGAGGCCAATGATCTTCACCAGTGGGTTGTGGAGAAGGAGCTTGTCGCTGTCACTGAGACTATTGTACCGGGTCGTCTAGAGGAAGTCGAATGTGAGAGGAAGCGTGTCGAGAATTTGTTGAGTGAGCAGAAAGATCGGGAAGCACGCGTAAATGATCTGCGTGACAAAGCCGAGAAACTTAAACGCGGTGGGCAGACCGAAGCTGTGGAAAAGATTGAAGGAATTGTGATGCAGTTACAAAAGAAGTACGAACAGCTGGAAGAAGTTGCTGCCAAGAAGGTAAAGGAACTAGATGACATCAATGCCGTCCAGCGATATCATCGTGACTGTGACGAAGCGAAGGATTGGATTAACGAAAAAGATGTTCGTCTGTCGACCGATGATGTTGGCAAGGACCTGACCTCTGTGCAAAGGCTCATCCGCAAGCATGATGCTCTAGAGAGAGATCTCGTTGCCTTGGGTGATCGTGTTAAACAGCTAGATGTTAAGGCAGCGGATCTGGCACAAACTCACCCTCAAGAAGCTGAGGGAATATGCAAGCACCAGGAGGAAATTAATGGCCTTTGGAATGACTTAACTGCTAAAGCCGAGAACCGTAAAGCCAAACTTCTGGACTCTCTGGACTTGCAGAAGTTCATGGCTGACCACAGGTGGGCTACATCCCCTTGGTTTCCGTTTTGTAACCATGGCCTTTTATTTTCCTCCAAATTTCGAATCTTGTTCATATATTTCCAGAGATCTGCAGTCATGGATGAATACCATGAATGCCCTCGTCAATTCAGACGAGCTCGCCTCTGATGTGACTGGCGCGGAGGCTCTTTTGGAGCGTCACCAGGTATACTTTTACTGTGGTCTACGATGTATGCATCATATGTTTATCATCACAAATTCCTCGTAAGTAATTGTAACTTTCTGCCTGTCTTTTAGGAACACCGCGCCGAAATCGATGCCAGGGCAGGAACGTTTGATAACTTTGATGCGTTCGGTCATGAATTACTCGAAAACAAGCATTATGCCAGTCCTGAGATTGCGTCAGTTCTCGAACAAACAGTCCAGGCCCGCAATGATCTTGCCGAGTAAGTCCTTTCTACCAAACCTCTGCTTGGCGAACACCCCTCAGCCAATATAATTTCCAAACCTTTGGATATCCAACCGGTCTTTGTTCAGGATGCTAGGACTATTACCACCTCGATCTTCTCTTTAGTTCTTGGAAAGCCCGCGAAAAGGCTTTAGAACAGTGCTTGAAGCAGCAACAATTCCTCCGGGACTGCGAGCAGGCCGAAGACTGGATGAGCATGCGCGAGGCTACCCTGGTTGGTGATGACGTTGACAGTAACAAGGTTGACGCTCTGATCAAGAAACACGAGGACTTCAACCGCGCAATTAACATACAGGAGTCCAAGATAAAGGCTCTAAACAACGCAGCCGATGCTCTGATCAAGGAGGGTCACTATGACGCCGACGGTATCGACAAGAAGCGCAACGATGTCCTAACTCGCTGGGCGAATTTGAAGGATGCCATGATTGAGAATCGAAGCAAGTTAGGTGATGTGCAGACGCTACAGGCCTTCCTCCGTGACGCTGACGAGATGGAAATTTGGATCAGTGAGAAGTTGCAAGCCACTACAGACGACTCCTACAAGGACCCAACAATCAACGTTCAGGCGAAACACCAGAAGCACCAGGCCTTCCAGGCTGAGTTAGCTGCCAACGCAGAACGCTTGCAAGCTATTCTTGGCGCTGGCCAACGTCTCATTGAGAAGGGTATGCACACTTTCGCCGGTCAAAATTCAAATTTTGTCCTCAGTATATACTGGTAACCGTCACTTGTTTTTTCTACCATCTATACAGGCCAGTGCAAGGGTCAGGAGGATGCAGTGGAGGCTCGTCTTGCGAAGATCGCTGACCAATGGGACAACTTGATCAAAAAGGCGGAGGAAAAGTCAGATAAGTTGAAGGAAGCCAACCGACAGGCCGCGTACAACGCGGGAATCAAGGATATTGAATTCTGGCTGGGCGAAGTAGAAGCCTCCCTCGCTAGCCCAGACTACGGGAAGGACTCTGCTTCCGTTGAAAGCCTCCTCTCAAAGCACCAGGTTAGTTCACTAGTCGCATTTACTGGCAGTCCTTTTTTTCCTCATGTCAGTTTACTAAGGCGTAAACCATTATGGTCTCCCTACTTTGGAAGGAGGCCTTTAGTAGAAATTTCGGTCGCTTATAAGGCCATACCGACCTCGGGTTATTCGTATGACTGTCTTTTGTTTGCTCACCCAGTCCATATTTGTAGCTGGCCTTGTTAGAATTCCTGTCTGTCTTCTGTTTAACTGGCCAATATAAGCGTCCATTAGTCAGATGCATTATAATGACCGCTGTGTAAACAAGGACATTCATTTGGATGACTATTTTTTGGCCCAAAAGTTATTTCCAGAAATTGGCAGTAGGGGTTTCAAAGTGCTCTAAACGACTTTACCGTTCTTATAGGGAAGGCCTTTAACGATGTCCCGTGTCCTGACTGTCCTCACGAACTTGTGTTATTTTCCAGGTCCTTGAAACCGACATTCAAGCACATCAGGACCGCATCGTGGAACTCAATGCCCGTGCCGATGAGTTCCTGCAGTCCGGTGCCCTTGATGCTGACACAATCAGGGAAAGGAAAAAGATGATCAACGAACGATACGAGAAGATCCGAGCCTTAACGGAGAACCGGGCTATTACTCTGGGCAAAGCCAAGGGCTTACACGATTTCTATCGCAACATCGATGATGAAGAATCGTGGATCCGTGAGAAAAAAATCCTTGTGGGCTCTGAGGACTACGGCCGAGACTTGATCAGTGTTCGTAATCTTCGCAAGAAGCACAAACGTCTGGAAACCGAAATTGCGGCCCATGATCCAACTATACAACAGGTCATTCAGCAAGGGAAGGATTTGATGACCAGCACCGAGTTGGCTGACCCGGCTGAAATTCAAAAGCGAATCGATGTACGCATGCTGTGTATTTACTAACATGCTGTCTTCTAACTCCCTAACAACTCTTCTGATCCTATTGATTACTAATTGTCTCGTAGCATTTGGCGCAAGCGTGGGAGGAATTGCAAGCTGCAACAACCAATCGTCACAGGAAATTGGAAGAATCCTCCAACTACCAGGACTTTTTGGACGCGGTTGAAGAGGAGACTGCCTGGATTCTCGAGAAACAGCACCTCTTGGGTAGTGAAGATTACGGAGACACCCTTGCCGCAGTGCAAGGTCTTCTTAAACAGCACGAAGCGTTTGAAGCCGACCTAAAGGTATGGTGCTGTCCCGCGCTAGCATACCATGCTTTCCTCGAATCCCTTGCTCACTTCTATTCGCTTTTTAGGTCCACCAAAACAAGTGCTCGGACATCTGCACTGTCGGCCGGGACCTCATTGAGGCCGGGAATCACAACAAGCCTGCAATTGAACAGAAATGTGAAGGTTTGATGGAGAAGGTTGGCGTCCTTGTGCAAAACGCGGAGCGAAGAAAAGCCCTTCTCTCGGATAACTACGCTTTACTTCAGTTCATGTGGAAGACGGACGTCGTCGAACTTTGGATTGCCGATCGTGAAGCCCAGGTTCATTCCGAAGACTACGGGCGCGATCTGAGCAGCGTGCAAACTCTGTTGACGAAGCATGAAACGTTCGACACGGCTTTGGAATCCTTCAGAACTGAGGGCATCGAGACAATTACTGCTCTCCACAACCAGCTTGTCCAATCGCAACACGCCCAGACTCCTGCTATCAAGCAGAGGTAAACTTCTTCTAGATACTAATACAACGTGCCTTTCGGTGGTTTATTTTCTCCTGCATTTTGCGTCACCTACAATCGTTTTCGTAGATTCAATGCCCTGATTGAGCGGTGGGAGCGTCTGCAACGTGAGTCAGACCGCCGTAAGAAAGGTCTGCTGGAGCTGCAGGAGCGCTACAAGCAGGTGGAAAAGTTGTTCTTGGATTTCGCGAAACGTGCGTCAACCTTTAATTCGTGGTTTGAAAACGCCGAGGAGGATTTGACTGACCCTGTGCGCTGTAACTCTCTGGACGAAATCCGCGCATTGATCGAAGCCCAACAGCAATTCAAAGCCTCCTTAAAACCAGCCGAAGCCGACTTTGAGGAACTTCGTCAACTGGACGTCAAAATCAAGGAATACGGGGTAGGTGTCGTCTCAAGATCACACAGCCGTTTTTAGAACCCAGACGTTGATGTATGCCTTTAATCCAGTGTTTTCTTGACTTCAGGTTGGAGCCAATCCCTACACGTGGTTCACAATGGAGGCACTGGAGGACACTTGGCGTAACCTGCAGAAAATCATTCAAGAGCGTGACGACGAGCTGCGCCGTGAGCTTGCACGCCAAGAGCAGAATGATCAGCTGCGCCAGGAGTTTGCCTCGGCTGCCAACAGTTTCCACCACTGGCTGCAGGTGCGTGTGATACACATGTCGTATGCTTCACGCATGTTTTGTCGGCTTCAGTTCCTGGGGATCCCTGTCCTCTGTTCTTCTCGATGGGGTTTTTCGTCCTCTATCATAGATCCGGAGTCAGCTTATATGCTCCCTGCTGTGTTTGCCTTTCAATTGGACCCGTTAACATTTCGTTGACTTCGAATAACTGCTAATAATTTTGACTTCCGAGGTCTTATCGCATCCAGATTACTTTAAATGGTTTCCTTCAAACATTTAGCTTGGTTTGCGTCGAGCAAATAGCTTCTACTACAAACTCGTGTCTGCTCAGTGCGAGTCATGCCGTAGCTCACTTATGTCGTAAAAAATGAGGAAAAGGGCGTTTGTTGCCACCCGAGCACCAGTCCTTAAGCAACCGCATTCTGGCCTGCCCTTTAACTTGTTTTTATCTCGGACCGACTTTCCACTCCTAGAATGTGCGCAACTCCCTGATGGAAAGCTCGGGCACGCTTGAAGAACAGTTGGAGGCAACGCGCGCTAAGTCCGTCGAGATCAGGGCACGAAAGGTCGATCTGAAGAAGATTGAAGACTTGGGCGCTCGCCTGGAGGAACGTCTTATCTTGGACAACCGGTATACAGAGCACAGCACGGTAGGCCATCTTGCCAACTAAATTGCCTGTTTGCCACGTCTTACAAATTTGTCTGAAAATCCCGAGCCGCGTTTGCACATGCACATCTCAGCTTTCCATGCGTCTACTAGACGTTTCTACCCTCATCTCCTCTCAGGTTGGGCTAAGCCAGGCGTGGGATCAACTTGACCAGTTGGCAATGCGCATGCAGCACAATCTGGAACAACAGATTCAAGCACGTAATGTCAGCGGCGTGAGTGAGGAAGCTCTTCGCGAGTTTTCCATGATGTTCAAGCACTTTGATAAGGACAAGTCAGGTCGCTTGGACCATCGTGAGTTCAAGTCCTGTCTGCGCGCTCTGGGTCACGACCTACAATTGGTAGAGGAGAACCAGGTGGACACCGAGTTTGAGAGTATACTGAACGTGGTGGACCCCAACCGCGACGGTTACATCACTCTGCAAGAGTTTATGGCCTTCATGATCAGCCGGGAGACCGAAAATGTTCAGTCGCGTGACGAGGTTGAAGAGGCATTCCGATCTCTTACCAAGGAGGGCAAGGACTACATCACGAAGGCAGAGCTTTATGCTGTAAGTTAACATTTCCCCTTTTGTTATCGGACGTAAGTTCGCATCCATGGACACCGTGCGAACTTTCGGCCATTTGGTTCGGTGGGTTGCTATTCAGATATTTCCGAAAGTTTAAAATTTGCGAGTGCTTCTCTTGTTTTACCACACCTAATCTCATTCGCTAGTCGAAAGTAGATTACTAATCATGATGGAGTACCTCCTCGTGGTCCCTTAAATAACCCATCATTTTTAGTCAGTATTACATCTACTGGTTCGCCGAATATCAGTCCGTCCCTTTACTGCACCCAGAGGAGTACCCAACACCAGGACTGCTATTTTGTCTCCAATGCCAGCCAAGTGTTGCCTTTTCAGGCTCTCAAAGTATTTGCAACCAATTGGATATCATCTATCCCATCTAAGTTCGTGTTTTGAAAACAGTAGTCCAATATACCCACAATTGTCATTGTTGACCGCTACTGCACCTTTTTCCTATCCGTCTGTGCCACAGTTTTTTTGTCCACGCCCCGGATAAATCGTTACTGCGATCCTGCCCTTCGTGCTGTGCCTATCATCACTCTTTGCGCAGAACGCAATAGGAACTAACCACGAACGCTACCAAAAAGAACTTGGTCACTTTTTAGGTCTTTGTCTATTTGATTTCAATCAGCAACCACAGAATCAACTGGACATACCTAGAAAGCTCACGAAACATTGCGTATCAGTATATAACCTTGTACGAGGCGCTACCAGACTCCCTGGCTCTGTAGGACTGCTACAGGCGTAACCAAATTCTGGATGGGCGGGATTTCTCCCTCCCCCGCCTGAGTTGATATTTCTACAGTAGGTGGCAGTGTGTGTGACCTAAAGCCTTGCCAGAAAGTATCAATTTTTTGCTTTGCTTTTGTTGGTTTCGTTTTAGGGCTTTCTACTCTCTACCGTTGCTTTCATGGTTGCACTTTTTTGCTTCAGAACCTGTCTAAGGAACAAGCCGACTACTGCGTTCAGACCATGCCTCCTTACTACACCAAGAGTGGACAACCAATCCAAGATGCCTACGACTATCAGAGTTTCACCCAGCAGCTCTTCCAGAAGTAGGCTTTGATTAACTGACCCCGTAATCCCTTTGGTTTTGCCAGTCAACCGATGTTTCCTGCAATCGCCTGATGTCGCTTTTACTTTTCGCCTTCAAGCGGTTGATCAAGTCAACCCCGTGATCAGTGTTGTTTCGGCAGTTTAGCTTGCTTAAAAAAATAATACCACACAAGCTATTCCTAATAAATTCCTCTTTTCAAAGCCTATGGTTTTCCTCTATGTGGCCACTCGAATATCGCCCAATACAGAATATTATCATGTTTCGCCAACATTTCGTTCTCTTCTTACTTGAGCATCTGGCTTTGCATTTTTGCGTTTTCGCCGTCGCCCATTCTCTTTTCTTGTTCAAATATATATGACCTCCCGTTTACGTGTGTCTTTTTCGAGCTCTTCAACTTAGACTAGGCATGCCTACTGCAACGGTCTGGTCTTGTAGAGGCTAAACTGCGCATATACTGCCACAATCAGGGTCAGAACACATGGGGAAGGTGCTAGTGGGAGAGTTTATCCTATCTGGAGTGACTGAGTTGCCTCAGCAAGCAGTGTCGCCTAGGCTAGCCCATGTACTCTAACCAAGACATTGTGCGTGCGCCGAAGTCGCACTTTGGAATTCCGGCACAGGTTGCATAGTTCACACGCGGCCCTCTGTAATTCACTGGCTCGTAGGACATCAGCTCGAGTCGGTGGTCGATGGGGTCTTCGCTGTCGTGGCTATCCTACACGAGGGCTGATGTACGGGCGTAATCCTACGGCGTTTCACACGTCCCCTCACTGACACTTGTCATCGTTACTTGTCAGACCATCAGAGTGCGTTCTCTGTCCTAGTCTCTTGGATGTGGGCTGTGTGGTTTTGGCTTGCAGGACTGGCTCCAACGCTCGGGGCTCGCGGTCTCCTTTAGCTAATTATTTTGGGTCAGACCGCCCACTGTGGATGCGGCAGTGCTTGTAGGCAATTTTGGTTAAATGCTATTGCGACAATCTTTGGACGCATTGTCAAATCGGGTTCCGCCCGGGGGGCTGGCCAGATTTCTGAGCCGGATCGTGCACCTCCACCCACCGAGTTTGGCGTGGCTGGACGTTTGCAGTGCGTTTGAGTCTGCAAGTCGAAATCGACCCCTCGGGATGGCCGACGGTTGTTTCCGTGCTAGTGAGCCCTGTTGGCTATTATCAGAACTGGTGATCGTCGGAAATATTCCTGCCCGCCCGAGGCCGTAATCAACATGCCCACGCGCTTGTGATTTTTCAAGCTTTTCCCATGTAGTCAGAGCGATAGTACGATTAGGCAGTTGGACATTCCGGTCAGAAACGTTTCCCAGTTAGCTGTGTCTAAGGGGCACCTGGTCGATGAAATTCGGTAGAGAGGTTCTGAGTTGTAAATCACAAGTGAAAAGCACGGAGATGACGATCTACATCCTTCGGTGCGTAAAGGTTCACTTTTGAAAAGCGGGAGGCTCAACCTCGCGACAACCGAACTCCAGCCCCTCATCGACCGCACTCCAGGATAAATCACTACTCGGGTGGCGTGTATCCAGGCCTCCATTGATTTCTCACGCTTACAAGAGCGGCATTATACCCGGAAAGTGCTGACAGGGCTCTCTTTTCGCCTGTTTTGCGGGCAAGTGCGCCTCGCTGATGGGAATTAAATACTGATAAACAGTAGGAAAAGTCGCGCTTGAGAATGACTTGAATTTTTAATACCAAATATTGCGGGTCTCGCAACGTTAACTTCCCAGGCGAAGCTTCTTGCAGCACAACCTTCCGGACAAACTGGCCGGTTTCACTTTGGCGTCGGAAACCAGTGCAGATGTACACAAATAGTCCTTAAATGCGGATTTTCCCCGCGTGAGGTTGGTCATGAAACGACGTACTGGGCTATGCGGACTAACTTGGGATCGGATGCCGTGCTTGTCAGCACCGAGATCTCACCCTGATAAGCTTTTCTCCGTGGGCTTATTATCTATTTTGATTGGGCCGTGAGTTCTCTGTTAATACGACAGAAGGTTGCGTTCCCAACCTTTCACCTAAACCACTGGATTGATACTGAAGGCTCCAGCTTCCCCACTCAGATGTACTCGCGGTTTGTTGCCAGTAGGCAGCCTGTGTCATCTCTTTCAGTGAGCCTCTTCGTTGCTTGAGATTGTCGATGACGCATTTCACCGGCTCTCGCTGTCTGTCTGGAGTAATTAGTCGCATTAGTGACGAAACGCACTAATTTATCAGCCGATGCAAACATCACCTAATTCCCATCATCGACCCTTCAATGACGCCTCGATGGTCATAAAAGTGCAGAACAAAACAAGACATTATTGAGCGAGTATTGTGAAAATGTTGTGCTCTTTGAGTTACAACAAAGTAGAATGTAGTAAAAGTGTTGTAACTGGCTTGCAGCCCATTCCTGTTATACCTGCAAAGATCAACTTCGAAACGAGCTTTTCAGGCGAGAAAAAGAAATAGTAAGTTTTTAATCGTGAAACTCACTGTAAAGACACTATCTGATCATCCACGCTATTTTTCTTCTGGTTTTAAGACTGCTGCTGGCAAACAGCAGTCTTCAGTGGGAATTTCACGGCTGCGCTGTGTCCTGGCCTGCCGGCGGCTTTTCTCTCCGAAGTCAACTTATCCAAGCTAACGGCGCGCTTTGAGGTGTCTTTCTACCTCTCTTTAAATCCCACATCACGTCCACTGACGCGCATCTTTATTGGTCAGAGCTACTGATGGTGTTTTAACTACTTACCTCATCGAGGAGGGTTTAACTTCCCCCATTCTAGTTGGCTGTCTAATCCGTGTTTCAATAAGGTCTCCGCAGAGTTGTCTGCTAAGCAGTAGTCAACAAATAACTTCCTGTTCTTGGGTTTGTCGGACTACTTTTGTGTCGCTCGAAATCCTTTTACATCATTTACATCTAAATGGGCACGTCTCTAGAGATAATATGCGGGGTTAGTATAACAGAGCCTATGCGAGGCGCTATCCATGGCTGACTGAATGTCCATTGTGATGCTGGCCGTTCTTGTGAAGTGGGAAGAATTGCCTAGAGACGAGTTTTTCGTTACGTCAAATCTTAGTTTAAAACAAGGACCGAATCTTTATGACTCAGCACCAGCTGTGCGAGGTGAGAATGTAAACGCGGGTACTTTTCAACCCGGCTGCGCATTTCCTATGGTGCACAGGACCAGACTCGATAAGACGGTCTGCAGGCATTAATGACACCGCAAGACGGCGAATAAGAAGTTCATCTTCAGCATGTCTCCTGCCGAGCGAGTTCTTAACCTAAAGACCGCACTGACTCCTTGAGCGCATACATACCTTGACATCATCATTATCAGCTTCACACGGCGGTGATGCTCACTGATCATCTCGGTTTGTGGGAGAGGTGAGAGTTTCCGTCCTGTCCTCGGGGTTCCTAGTCCAGCACCACTATCAAGTCACCCTAGCTATGTCCGCCCGCAGCCAATGGGATGTGAGTTCTTAACGTAGGCGGTGGAACCTTTGTCCAGCTAATCCGGCCTCAACTGCCGCTGGCGGCAGATTAGCCATAGTCGGCCCCATGACTTACTGCAATATCTCGGCCAAGGAGGACATAATCCTGCGCGCAAATTTGTCTTAAGTGCACCTAATGTTAGATGCTTTAGTTCCATGCACTGACCATATCCACGAGCGGGGAGCAAGAAAACAACTTCCCTTCATGTTTTTCGTCAAGTATATGAAACTCACCAACTATGAGCTCTTGCAATGGTCTATTACCTGTAACCTGTCTCGTGGATGTCATGTGGTTAGTATTTCCGGGCAAGGTATTCGGTTAGAGTAAGTTAGTGCGACGGGAGTTTGTTGCATAAAATGACAAACTTATGTATTTATTATGCTGAATTTGAAAACCTTTTCCAGTTACCCGAAGCACATGCTGTGCTAGGGTTTCCAAGTCAGCTCTAAATCACTCAAAATTTAACACCGGGAACATTCAGAGACAACATTTGCATACTGTGACGCTAACTTTTGAACCTATAATTTTAGCTCATTAATGAGCACAGCTTTTATGAATTATCAAGCTATCCCGGAACTTTCAAAGGAGAAAATAATGTGATAATACTCCTATATAGTTTCATTTTCAGGCAAAAAGCCGTGAATTCAGGGTAACGCTTAAGATAATAGAAAGACAGAGGATGTAGAATCTCATTTTTGAGACACCATGCTGAATTTAATAATGTAGATTATGCATACAGTAACCTATTATGCCGGCAAAAGAGTGCGGTTACGGCCACGTTCAGGGAAGTCAACATCAACGGGAAACGCCCTTCATTCCGGCGTTTTGGTAGGCCAGCTGACGTAATCGCCCAATCAGCAAAGCCCACTCCCATCAGATCGTAGGGTTGCATCACATATGCGTTAGCATCTTGCTTTGCGCAAGTTCCCAGTGCCAACTGCATAATTCAGCCCAAAGGGAAGAACGTCAGGTTATCAAAAGACGACATAGCTGGACGTTCGTTTTGCTTAGGTATGAGGGAAGGGAAAGTGAGGTCGACGACTCAACGCATATTCCTCACTATAAACAATCTAACGCATTTGAAGCTATCACGGTGCGCTAAAAGCCGTGGCTTGGAAGGTTGCCAATTGACGGGATAACTTGAACCTCACAGTCGTCCCAGTGTTGTGTGCTTGTGTATGGAGCGGCCGACTGGTGGTCTAAGAGTTAGGCTACAATGGCTCCTTCTTAATATGGCCTTTATGGCACTCCCAATCCATGGGATCCTAGACAGGTGTAACGGCACGCCTAGGTGCCGCTTCTGCCGCGCCGCCCCCTTTTGTTGTTGGTTAAAATCTCAGTCATTCGCTATGTGGACCAGGTATGGAGTGGAGAGCTAAAGTGCGGGCTCGACCGTGCCATCAATTTGCACCCTCCCTCGTCTTCGGCCTTCTCGTCTCTGTCTTGACACCGGGTCCAGGTGGCGGAGGAGAGAGTGCGGTATATGCAGCGAAAGTATATATCGACTATAAACTAAACCACGCGCAAGTCACCGTTCCTGCTTCGTCTTGCTGTGGAGCATACGGTGGATATCGTTGGATGCGCTGGTCGAGCT